TAGGTAAAATACACGAGTTGACAAACTGTAAGATAACGGGTTGGGTTATGCCTGAGTGCCTTAACTTCTTAATGTAAAAAGTCAAACGAAATATTCTTTTAGAAATCGCTAAGACATGGGAGGACCAGGATAGGTCAGAAGAAAGAATTAATCCAAGATACTTAACTTCAGACTTGGTTTCTATATCAGTATCATCGATTTTGCAAGGGTCATAGGAACCAACGGCTTCATTTAACTTTCGTTTACATCGGAAACTGAAATTAACAGTCTGACATTTGGAAGGATTAAGTTTAAGGCCGTTAGACGAAGACCATTTGCTAATTTCTGAAAGAAAGTTGTTTATCTTAATGCAGTCAAGCTGAGAGTTAACAGACATTGAAATAGTTAGATCATCGGCATACTTAACAAAGTTTATTTCATCAAAGTATGTGTATAATAATACTGACGCAGTGAACAACTCGACTGATACTGCTAGATACACACAGTCGTCTGTGGTACCTTCCGCCTCACTAAGCTATATAAATACCACAAGACAAAAACTGGCCTATGACTGTTAAGAAACGGTTTTTATTACGAAAAACACGTCATATATATATGTATAAAATATTAGCCACATTTAAATCTGGCTAGAGCAGTGAAAATGGATTGTTCTGATTGATAGGCGACTTTTCTAGGCAGCCGAAGTATTGGTTTGTAGGGATTTGATTGATTGGTTACAGGATTTCATCATGAACTGACATCAATTAGAGAAACATTGGAAAACCAGCACTGGAGTATTAGACAGCTGTTTCGTCAGCCTAGTTCGACACTCTTCAACAGTATGCACCCACCACAGAGGTTCGAACCCAGGGCCTCCTGATTACAAGGCAAGCCAGCTCGTAGACCATTCATCAGCCACTGGGACCCGACCCAATGTCCAGCCCATGAATTCCAGCTGCTGCCAATTCACGGTGTGGTGCGACCACTAACCAATGTCATTGCTGTGCGATTATTTTTCTCCACATTTGACCTGCTGTGCCGCACTGGTCAAGACTTCACACTAAAACCCCAGGTAACTTTATAGAGGACTTTATATCGAGCTCAATCACAGAACTAGTATGTGATTAAAAATCTAAGTTAATGAGATGATAGTGTAACAGTATGTTATGAAAATTACAATAATGAGTTACATTAATTAGACGGTTACTTGGGTATACGGTTAAAGTTCACGGCTTTAAATTAATAATATAATCCACAGAAGCGTTCAATGCTGGAGTCGTGTCTACTGGTAGAAGCTGTGTACGGTAGTAGAGCTATCATCGGATGAGGAATAAGAAGTTCCTGCAAATATCCAAAGTATACAACACGGTTATGAGTGAAGCAAGTAGACAGTATATATAAACCAGCGTAAAGACGAAATGGCCCGCAGTACACGGCATTTTTAGATTGTACTGGAAAATTATCTATATTCCAACATGAATCGTTTTAAACAAAAGTCATGTACAATATCTCTAATTTCAACATCTAACAAAAATATGTACAATCATATTGTTACGTACTCCACAGCTACCTACTTGAATAGGGCTAGTCACTGGTGTGCATCTCCTTGATATTCAATATTCTGATTGACTGGCGATTTGACCAAGACCATGGTAAGAAACAGATGAAATTTTACAGTCATCTGATTACGCAGTGAATCACAGTATGATTACTATTTTAAGCTGATTCCTATCAGTCGTAGGATGTGATGTGAATATTTCTGAATTATTCAATTCTCACCTCGACTTGTTTAATTTGTAAATAGCCAACTTGATTTTAACTGACTTTTTACTATCAAAGAATCGTTTTCTGGTTAAACAGTTGACCATTGATGCCTTGAAAAGTTTAGGCATTCTTTTTAAAGCATTAGTCAAGGAGCTACTCATATTATAAACAATCTGGAGGGGTTGTAACAGTTTGCACACACTGAATAAAAGCCAGCTTTTGTGACTGAACAGCCAACTACATGATACCCTTGCACTCAAAAGAATGAGCCTAGATTTCTCTAATCCCATTGCTATACACTAACAATGTGTTATAATGTGAACTGAATACATTTTAACATTATTTATTATTCTCCTGTGATTTGACTGACTGGTGGTAATAATATCTTCCATATCTCTGGTATTTCCGTTGAGTCACTTCTATTGCTCATGTGTTCAATTTAGACTGGATGAACCAGTCAGGATTCAGTAATTAATCTCTCTCTGTCCACCTACCTATATTACTTCTTAGAATTTTAACTCTCGCCCATCCACCCTATTGTATGGTTGTGTGTCAATGCATGCAGTACACAGTTGCTGAGCTTTCTTCTAAATTACTTATCTTCTCGAGAACATAAGAATTTAGCTAAGGCTAGAATGGTTGACCGCAAGAAGATAAGTAATTTAGAAAAAAAGCTCAGAAATTGCATTGCACTGCATGCATTAACACCCAACCACACAAATAGGGTGGGTGGGACAGAGTCAAAATTCTATAAACTAATAAAGGTAAATGGAAAGCGAGAGAGATAGATTACTAAATCCTTGTTCATCGAATCTACACACAACACATGCAACAGAAATAACTCAATGGAAATACCAGAGATATGGAAGATATTATTACCACCAGTCAGTGAAATCACAGGAGGATAATAAATAATCTTAAAATTCTGTTTCAGTTCAATTCACGTTCATCATAACATTCTAACACGTTAATTATCTATTTTAATATAAAAACACTCGTCTTATTCTCCATCTAACTGTATTTGATTGATAACACTCATACTATTATATCTAAATGTATATTATCCTATACTGATTTTTATTCAAATGTCTAATCATCAATTTCACTCATGTGTATAAATGAAGAAAGAAAGTAGTGTGAGTAGTGCCTTGATATGAATATGAGCAGTAATAATTTGTGCTCTAAACGTGGTCATCAGTTAATGTTACTGTGTAACACTCCACTGTGTGATTTATCAAAATAAAATCTTATCCATTATGGAGTTATACTCTACCACAGTGCCGAAGTCTTATACTTAAACTATTATTATTATGAGTCACCCAGAACAATGAAAAGAAACACCTCGAAAAATATGTAACAACGACGAGTATTGTCATATTACTTAAATTCAATTAATCTACTTCCAAAGTCATCTGATAAAAAATTTTAATCAACACATATCAGAAGAAAAAGACGTAACCAGAGGAGAAAATTTTCCCTTTTCCACGATTCATTTTCATAAGCTTCTGTACAACAAAGAAATCATGATGAAATCCTCCATGCAATCAAACAAAGTCCCTACAAAAAACCAATACTTGAAAATTAATCTGATGCTCACTAGTGACTGGTCCTATTCAGGCAGTTAATCTGGGGTTCTAGTAGGATGCCGTGGCTAGTAGGGTACAGCAGGTTGAAGATGAGGCAGTAACTCATCGAAGAAGACATTTCGAAATGGTCGCGCTATGTCGTGAATTGGCAGAAGTTCGAATTCAAGGATCATTGGATCGGGTCCCAGTGGCTCAATGGTCTACGAGCTCGCCTTGTAACCAGAAGGTCCTGGGTTCGAACCTCTGTGGTGGGTGCGTACTGATGAAGAGTCCCAAACTAGGCCGACGAAACAGCTGTCCAGTACTCCCAGGTTTCCCAGTGATTCTCTAACTGATGTCAGCTAATGATGAAATCCTCTATGCAATCAAAGAAATCATATGACCAATCAACTACTGGTAACATTTTGTCCTCAAAAAGGGTGTTACGCAGTGTAAGGTATAACCTTGATTGGGTGACTGAAGGGAACCTAGAAATGAGGCAGAAGTTGGCATGACGTAGCAAGTGTGAAGAAATGACTAGTCAATATAATTGTGTAGAGTGGACAAGAACTAGTGGAAAGACGATAAAGTGTTTTTATATAAAATCTGCATGAAAATGCCAATTTATTAATAAAAAGTAATAGAGTGGTAATAAAATAAGGATGATGAGAATAATAGTAATAATAATAGTAAACTTGCATAATAAAAGGAAGCAAAATTATGGTGAGAACGTTACTGTAGCCACGGTAGAGCGAGTGAATGTATGTAGTGTTTTTGAATTTAGAAGTCCTGTTTCAAATCCCAAATGGTCAATGATACAGCTATGTACAGATGGTGCATTCAAAGTCCTTTCGTATGATATTGATGGATTCTGTGTAGCACTGTAAAGCACCCATCCAGATGGGGGTACTCTATGTCCAGAGTTGACAAGGTGTTCGAGGATGGAGCTGCTAGTATTCTTCTTCTAGCCTCTGGTTAAACAAGCTGGACAATGTTCCAAAAATTTTTCCTCACCGTTTACGTCTTTTTCTGAAGACATATCAAAAATTAGAGGAGATATTCTGTGTTCAGTGGAAACCCTATAAAAGATCTTTATAAAAATGACGAGAGAGAATTTAAGTTTTCCTGTTAAACGACAAAATCTCCTCTTAAGACAACTCTGCTTTGTTCACAAGATGAAGTTCTATTGCTATAAAATAGTTATGTGCTATACACACAAATCTCTGGACATTCTGTTATTTTAATAGTATTAAGTTGTACTATGCTTTCAGTCTTATTTTAGACTTCTCCATGGATGGGTATTGACGTTACCAATAGGACTGGAACTTAGTCAAAACCTATCGCTTCAAACTTTGAAACATCATCCGCTAGTTGGAACACTTTCATTCACTCGTAGGGAGTGGGGGGTTTGGGCGTAGTTACATCCGAACAAAGAGTTCTGAATAAGAAGAAATGTGCGTCATGAATCCAACTGCTGGTTGCCACAGACCCCAAGTAACATCATGTCAAACTTCAAACACCGCCGAAGTATCCATATGAACAGCTGACATGTCATCACAGATCGAGTATTTTGATCCGACAAAAGGAAATCAAGAGAAAATACAAGGTAACAGAAACAATTATTTCAAATTCTACTGATTTTTAAAGATTAGTCTGTGAGTGTTTCTTTGGTCACAAGTTAGTTTCCATCTCGAAACGACAAGAATTAGAGAACCATTATCCTATTTAACTGAATTTTAGATTTTCCCGTCAATTGACTGAATCGAAGTGCTCGGTCTCAGGTTGACATGTCTGTTGGCTACTTGTGCAGCTGCTTCAACGACGTCTGGGCATGTAATTAGATGTGAATTGGTGGATGGTGACTAGCAGTGGAATCCAGGACAACACGAATTTCGTCCTAGTTTTGACATGTACATGCATTCCTCAGTAAGTAATGATGTTCCCAACGAGGCTCGAACCCAGTGCCCATGTTAACCTGAGACCGAGCACTTCGGTCCAATGAGTCGACGGGAAAATCTAAAATTGAATTAAATAACTAATTAATGTGACCCGTTGCACAAGAATAAGGCGGTTCTCGTGGCCCAAGTGGTCAAGTGGATAACGCTTTGGTGTTTTAAAATATGAGCACTGGGTTCAAGCCTCGGTGTGAACATCATCACAGAGCGGAATGCAGGTACATCCAGCTGGCGGACGAATCCCAAATAGGACGAAATTCGCATCCTGGATTCCACTGCTAGTCACCATCCACCAATTAACCATTATCCTAGTTTGCAACTCTTTAGTAGAACACAACCAGAGGTAGAAACCAAGTTCTTCAGATTACAAGTCAAGCATGTTTACATTAGGCCATCTTGTCGAAGTGTGATGGACAGTTTTTATTCACACATTGGTTTACATGGATTTGACTGTCTTCAGGATTTCATCATGAAATGAAATTGGTTAGAGGACAGTTGGAAAACCAGCTGGGAGTACTGGACGGCTGTCTCGTCCTAGTTCGGGACTCTTCATCAGTAGTAACCTAGGTTCTAGTGAGAAGTTGTAACCAGTGGAGTACAGCAGGTCGGGTGTGGAGACAGATACTCACTTCCAGTGACATTGGCTAGTGGTTACGCTATATCATTAATTGGCCGAAGTTGGAATTCATGGACCGGTCACTGGATAGGGTCCTAGTGGCTGATGAATGGTCTACGAGCTCGACTAATGATCAGGAGGCCCTGGGTTCGAACTCCGGAGAGTGAGCACTGTTGAAGGATCCCAAACTAGGACGAAGCGGTTGTCCATTATCCACAATGTTTCCAATGGTTGTCTAAGTGATGTCAGCTGATGATGGAATCCTGCAAGACAATTTTTAACTCAATACATACGATAACAATTAATACATTCCTGTTTCTCGAGTTTGCCCAGGAATTGATATCAGTTAGAGAAACACTGAAAACCAGTACTGGAGTACTGAACGGCTATTTCATCCTAGTTTGGGAATCATCGGCAGTACACTCCCCCTGGGGTTCGAACACAGGACCTTCTAAGTACAAGCCAAGCAAGTTCGTATACCGTTCAGCCACTGGGAACCAATTCACTGGCCAGTTCATGAATTCTAACTTCTACCAATTCGTGATTTAGCGTGACCACCAACCAATTCTCTAACTGATATCAATCCGTGGTCAAACTCATAAAAACAAAATTTAATCCTTACAAATCAACTCCTCAATATTCCTGTTTGTTGTATAGCATCCATTCTTAGCCTTAGGACACTCGAGATGTTTATCTAGTGTACATACGAAATAATGACTTAGCTGTATTCATAAAGCCTTCTGTGTATTCGATTAGGTGACAAACATTTTCTACATGTGAATAAAGCGAGAACTACAGTTTTTGCAGAATAAAGTAGTACCATCATTGTTTATTTCGTTGCCTTCTCATCAGCTGCTTACAGGCAAAAGTCATTATTAAGTATATCTACAGAAACAATTTTAACATACTTGCACAGAGAGTTCATTTTAAACAAAAATCAATCAATCAATATATGCATACAGTAATTATATATATATATATAATATTAAACACTATTCCGAACAATAGTGATCATACACAATGGAAACTTTC